AATGCACTTAGTGGTTGGCTATCCAACTTCTACCAAAAATAACAATATAACTAATGCAACAACCAAAATTTAATATTCTATGATCTTTATAATTATATATTGGAAAACGGGTTTCTATTCAAAATGACCTCTAGACGTGTCGAACCGTAATCTCGTATGACGCAATTGGCACGATTAAGTTGTTAGTTACGTGATTTGCATTGAAAGACGATGTACAACAGAACTAATGACATGAATATTTGGTTCAAGAAATTAAATACGATTATTTTAAATACTAAATGTGCTAAATGTACATGACTTACAGATTTGTTTACCAACAGATGATATAGTCAAATTTGATTTGATCAAAATTTCATCAATCAAATTTAAAAAAAAAATCACTTTATTGTTATACCTCATCAATCTATAAAAAAATATGCAAATAGTGATGTACAAGAAGCATTTTCCTTTATATATACCGAAGTATTTTAGTTAATAAATTATTCTTCGAAAATGGCAATTGGCCCTTGAAAGATGGAAGGGTTGGGTGGGAGTGTGTGTTGGAAATGATGGGGACTACATATTGCACAATATGATAAAAATTGCATGGGTTGGCAATTTGTTTCCATTAAAGGAAAGATTCCCATGGGGTGTGGACCGGTCGTTTGTTCTCTTATTTCTAAAAGTCAATACAGCGTGAGCATGTGATTGGGCACTCACTCCGGTAAGCGTGTACGTGTGCATCAACCTTCATGTGCGCAAGTACTACTTGCAATCACCCATTGGTTGGACTCTATCATCATTTTTTTACTCCATTATGATTAGTCTTCGTAGATTTTGATAAAAAATGATGAAATATATAGTGGGAAAATTGTGGATCCCAAAATATTGTCAAAATTAATTATTGATTTTGATTTTGATTTGATTTGATTTGAATTCCTACCAAACAGCGGCTGTATAAAAGTTTTAGCCCCCGTTTGGCCTCCATTATTTTAAATTATAATTAGAGAAATAGTAAATTTTTTGAGAATGTGTGGTTAAAAAAAGATTTTGAGTTTATATGTAATATTATTTTATTGAAAAATGTGTGGTTGATAAGAGTGATAAATATGAATTATAATTTATTGAGAAATAATGGGGGGCCAAACGAGTCATTATCTCGCATTGACACGTTAAGGAAAAAAAAACATAAATTATTGATAAAATTGATATTTTCTGACAAAGTTCTGTATTTAATAATATCGAAAATGTAATTTGGGTGATTAGCACTAATCTAAATGGTAGTGGAGTTAGTGTTATATTGTCCGATGAATAAAAATGCATTTCAACTTTATTGACAATGAGACAGTAACCCCACTATCATCTAAACTATTGCTAATCAAATGCATTTGTGACTTAATTGCACATCCAATGTTGTGATTTAGATTAAAATATTTTTTATACTATAGCTATAACTGTTTATCGAGACGGTTCCATCTCTTAGTATATTTGACAAATGATCATAACTCTTAACTTACTCTTAAATTGATTCAAATATCTAGATCTATTAACGAATAATTTTAATCGTTACGTTAATTTGATGGTCTAAATTTATTAAAACTTTCATTGAGTCGTGTTTACACGTGTGTATACTGTATAGTGATTTTTAAAAAATCGTATGGATATAAACAATTAAATTAAGGGCTACGATCAATTATTAAATTTTATCAGTCGAATTCAAATGTCCCCTTGTTTATTATTTATATGATTTTGCTACCTTGAATAGAAAGAATGCCTTCATTTGGATAATCTCATCTCAAGTAGAATTTTTTTTTATTTTTAACATTTTAACATTTGTATTTAAATCATAGACCACAACATATTGAATTATTCCACAAGTACAGGAAATTTCTACATATTGTTGACAGGAATTTGAAATGGTTTAATCCTATCTATCACTGTATTGTTTTTCATCTTCCAATTTTGAATGTAAATCCTTCATTTCAAATTCCTGTATGAATTCTGAATAATTTTCCTGTACCTATAGTGTGATTCCAACATATTACTGTATAACAATATCCTAAAAGGGGATCGAATCATCATATGACAGACACACTGGACTGACTGGAGGGACGCGCTTATGCTCAGTAACATGCTTAGGCCCAATTGTAATTTGGGTAGATCCATTGCCGGAGATAGAAGAGATTCATCAGGCCCTTTACCATTATCCACTAAGAATGCAATCATCAACCCCCATGTTTTGTGCACTTCTAAAATGTAATGCCATGCAGCCCACGAATGTTTAGCACCAATTCAGGTGGCATCATTTATGTAATTAAATCATAGGTTTAATTAAATATAAGAATAATGTCTAATATGCTGATGCTTAACTTAGGCTGGTAGTTAATATCACTTATGCTAAATAACATGAATAACGTTATGAATCCCACTGAGATTGCAACCTCAGTTTAGGCGGCGCTAGATGATAAATTAAATGAAAAGTGAAACTAAACTAAATGAGTCATTTAATTTTACTTATTATTTAATGCCACATCAATGCCATCAAAGTTGTGATTGCAACTCCAGGGAAGTTAAATAACATTATTGTTATGTAACCTATCAAGATTGCAACCTCAATTTATGTGGTGTTAAATGATAAGTGAAATTAAATGAATCATTTAATTCCACTCATCGTATAATGTCACATCAATGTCGCTTCAACTAGGATTGCAACTTCAGTGAAACTAAATAATATTATTCAAATAACATTACAGCTAAATGGCAATGTATAAACCGGACTCTTAAACATTTAAAACTGCTTGAAATAGAGCAAAATAGAGTGTGTGGTAAAGCACGGGTGTCAAAACGGGGGTGCCAACAACTTCCAAAGAGCCGAGCTGGGGTACCAGGCTTTGGTTCACAGGCCGGTACCCGGCTCTCTCACATTGGGGGGGGTACATTTTTGGGGGTTTTTTTTATTGAGGTCGGACCCACCTCATTGTGAGGGGGAGGCTTTACCAGGCCTGGAAAAGGCCTGATAAAGAAGAGAAATCCACTTCCAAATATGGTTTTGCACAAAGGTACAATGTTTTTTTATTTTGTTCGTTGGATTGAATAAGAATAAAAGATTATGTTTAATATTAAATTAACCATTATAACATGACTCATTTAGCATTTATAAGAAAAAACAAAAACAAAAATACAAAGAAATCAAAAGTTATTTGCTCAAATCAAAAATCATCTGTCTTCTTCAGCATGTTTTGATTTAACTTGCTATTTCATTTCGAGCCGTGCTATTGGGCCAGGCTCAGAGCCAGGCCAAAAAATAGGGCGCCGATGTGGCGCCCTACAATTGGAGGGCGAGTTGACGCCCCAGGAAGCAATACACATTTCAATAAGAAGTTTGCCACGTCAGCAGTTTCTGTTAAATTTTCTAACAGATAGTACTAGCTTTGTGTGCAAATGGAAATGAAGTAGAAAGTCTGGTGACTTAATTGAACAGAATAGAAGTTCGGGGCTTAAGTGAAACTCTGCCAAAAGGTCAGTGATTAACCGTGTATTTTACCCTGTTTAGCAACCAAGAAATAAAATCAGCCATTGAAGTCACGGCAGGCCAACAAGTTGGGGATGATCAAGAATTTTCCTCAATGGTTCGTAGACGATTCCAAGANCCGGAGAAGAGTGGTGACCGGAAAGGTCGCCGGAATATCTCTGGAGTTGTGGGGGTGGTGGAGGTGGGGGTGGATTAATTATTTTATAGTAGAATTAAATATTAATAATAAATTAATTTAATAATTATTATTTCATAATTAAATTATAAATAAATTTTAATGAAAACCTGATTTTTGAAATTTAAAACTTCAAACCTTAATTTTGAAATGGTGATACTTAAATACCTTATTTATGTATTGTTCCCTTAATTAAATATAAGAATAATGTCTAAAAATGAGTCATTTAATTTTATTTATTATTTAATGCCACATCAATGCCATCTAAGTTGTGATTGCAACTCCAATGAATCTAAATAACATTGTTATGTAACCCATCGAGATTGCAACCCCAATTTAGGTGGTATTAAATGATAAGTGAAATTAAATGAATCAGTTAATTCTACTCATCATATAATGTCACATCAATGTCGTTAAAACTAGGATTGCAACTTCAGTGGAGCTAAATAATATTATTCAAATAACATTACAACTAAATGGCAATGCATAAACCGGACTCTTAAACATTTAGAAATGCTTGAAATAGAGCAAACTAGAGTGTGTAGTAAAGCACGGGTGTCAAAATGGGGGTGCCAACAACTTCCAAATATGGTTTTGCACAAAGGTACAATGTTTTTTATTTTGTTCGTTGGATTGAATAAGAATAAAAGATTATGTTTAATATTAAAATAACCATTATAACATGACTCATTTAGCATTTATAAGAAAAAAAAATAAAAAAAATACAAAGAAATCAATCTTTATTTGCTCAAATAAAAAATCATTTGTCTTCTTCAGCGTGTTTCGATTTAACTTGCTATTTCATTTTGAGTCGTGCTATTGGGTCAAGCTCAAAGCCATGCCCAAAAATAGGGCGCCGATGTAGCGCCTTGCAATTGGAGGGCGAGCTGACGCCCCGAGAAGCAATACACATTTCAGTAAGAAGTTTGCCACGTCAGCGGTTTCTGTTAAATTTTCTAACAGATAGTACTAGCTTTGTGTGCAAAGGGAAATGAAGTTGAAAGTCTGGCGCCCTGCAATTGGAGGGCGAGCTTAAGCCCCAAGAAGCAATACACATTTCAATAAGAAGTTTGCCACGTCAGCAGTCTCTGTTAAATTTTCTAACAGATAGTACTAGCTTTGTGTGCAAATGGAAATGAAGTAGAAAGTCTGGTGACTTAATTGAACAGAATAGAAGTTTGGGGCTTAAGTGAAACTCTGCCAAAAGGTTAGTTATTAACCGTGTATTTTACCCTGTTTAGCAACCAAGAAATAAAATCAGCCATTGAAGTCACAGCAGGCCAACAAGTTGGGGATGATCAAGAATTTTCCTCAATGGTTCGTAGACGATTCCAAGACGCCAAAGCTGGTAAAAATCTATAAGAACTCCAATCACAATTTCGTATTCTAGAAATTAATCCCAGTTCCCATATGATAACTGTGTTCAATTTTGCGATTTTTCAAAGTCACTGTTACACCTATTCTTCCCGAATTTAGTAGAATAATTTCAATTTAATTAAATGTCTAATTTAAAGTAATTTTTTTAGTCTGCTGATTTTTGTTTTCTTTAATGTGTGCCGCCTTTGAACTGTTCGACAAAATGCCTCAGTTGAGATATGTGTAAACAGTAAAGAATGTTAAAAGTTCTGCCAATATTATTTTTACAGGGATGTCAATGATAAATTCATTCAATGCCGATAAATTCCTGAAGAAAGTCGGTTTAGGTAAAGAAGACCATCATTTCTGGAAGCAAGTGGGCAAGGCACTGCTATGCACATATACACTTTTTGGCATAGCTTGGCTTTGGAATGAAACTTCACCGTTGGGTTGGTGGACGCTGAAACCGAAACCTAAGGAAGAGAAAGAGCTGGCTCATTTGTACGAGCGCCGAAAGTTCCCTTACCCGGGCGACGAGGAGGCCATGAAGGATTTCGTTGCTAAAGGTGGCATGATCGGAACGACCATTGGGCCAAAAGGGGTCATTGAAACAGATAAGGATTCGTACAATTATCAAAAGGCGTTGCAAGACAAGAAGTTTGATCAGGAGGCTTTGAAGCTATGGTTGAGGATGAGAAATGAGGTTATTTCTGAACTTCAAGATAAAGGGTTTGATGTTGAATGAATGCTTTCAGCAAAAACTACTACTATTAAATGTCAAGTAGTGTTTAACTTCAAAGAGTATTGTGGTTTTGTTGGATGAGATGTTGATGTTTTGTGTAATTTAATGACTATACATTACATTCTGATAGCCTTCAGTAACAGTTAACTGCAATTATCTGCATCAATTTTCATTCTAGAAGCATTTGTTTGAGACAGAAGAATCACATATTGTAGCCTATATCTGGCGTCTAATTTCTTGCCTTGTGTTTAAAACATCAATAATTACATAGTGTGGCCTATATCTAGCGTCTAATTTCTTGCCTCTGTATAAAACATCAATCATCCGAGGATGGTCTGCGTGTTCACTTGTCATTTATGTAAAATATTATTTGACTTCCATAGATGCATTACATAGTATGACATATTCCTATTGTTGGTTGGGAATTTCACCGTAGCCTGGCCAATAATTTGTTCTTCCTGCCAGTCTCTCTCCTCGGCCGTTGCATCTGAGAGAAGAGGCCTCATCATCGTGATCATCAATATTGGTTGAAGTAGTAGCCGATTACGGTCTCTCTAGTTTTGGAACATACTACTTAGGTTTCTAACCATCTAGGGGATGCGTCCTGCATTATGGCGTTTCTATACATAATGCTTGAAGTGAAACAGACAGTGGATTTATTCCTGTCTTTTGTTGAATCTTAGCCAAGGAAGCATCAAAAGCTTTCATGCTTTGCTATGGTTTTCATTTGACAATAGACTCAAACCTTTGTTTTTCCTGTAAAGTCCAATTACTCGGAGGCCTGCTGCTGGAGATCCTACTAGATATATTATATGAAAACTTGCCAAGTTTTGAGTCTTATTTTAGAAAAAGTAATTAGTGTTTTATTTTATAGATGTTCTAGTATTTTATTGGTTCTTTCATACTTAAATTAGTTTAGTTTAAACCCTATATAATTAATTTTTTTCTCTTTTCTATCTCCCCTCTCCCCTCTTCTTCTGTTTCTCCCTCTCTTCCCCTTTCTTTCCTGTCTACTATAATTCTACTTCTAATAGTTAGACTTTGATATTGAATAAAAACTATAATTTTCTCTTCCAATTTCTGCTTCTCTCGTCTTTCTAGTCTGTCTAATTTTTCTCCCTTTTCTATCTCCCCTCTTCTCTTTCTCCCTCTCTTCAACTCTCTGTCCCTATCTCTTTGTTCGATTACATCCTATATCACCTTCTCCCTCATAGCATTAATTTTCCAATTGAAAAAGGCTGATTGAAGTTCATTCTGCTGCTTGATTCAGCAGCTCTTTCAGTCCCACTCCACGGATTTTCTGCCTAATTTCCATTGAGCACATTAATTTTTGCAAATCTTACTGTCTTTGGTGGGTCAAAATTTTTATACCTAACAACCCTGAAGTGCCTTGTTCCCTGTAGTTATAGTTATCATGAAAACTGATCTTATTCTTGTTGATTGGAGGGTTATTCTGCAATAACTGTAAGTAGTGCACAGTTTCAACTTAACAATTAGTAGAGAAATGTGCTGTGTGTTCCAAGGATTATTAAGCTCTGTAAAATAATTAAGTTGCTGTAGCCTGTAGATGAAACAATTATCAAAATAAACTGCAGGCACACGATGACCATATCCTTAACGTGCCTTGTGGAGATATATTGATATTATGCTTGTATGTTGATGATTTGATCCTCACGAAAAATAATCCAAGTAGGTTCGAAGAATTCAATAAGAGTCAAGTATGAGGTTCACTAATCCATTGACTAAAGTTGATGTCCCATGTGAATTGTCATCTCTTGGGATCAAATCATTGAACTTGTTAATTAACAAGCATCCACGGGAAAACACTGAATGTGTGGTGGAGAATCTTACTGTAGGCTTCAATGTTTTGGAATAATGGAAGACAAACAGTGCTTAATTAGAAGTGCGATATATTCTAGTTCCAGAAGCAGAATTAAAGGCCTTGGCTACAGGTTTGAGAATGTGCCTGTAAAATTTGTACAAGACTCCTGTGAATTCCTTCATTAAAACTCCTTTCTATGCTACTTGGTAAATACTAATGTATTTGGCTATGTTGCGTTCGGAAATTTTGTGTTTCTCTCTATTGCAAAACAGAGAGAATATAGAAGATGAAAATATCTGATTATCCATTGACTAAAGTTGATGTCCCATGTGAATTGTCATATCTTGGGATCAAATCATCGATCTTGTTAATTAACAAGCATCCACGTGAAAAGACTTATATCAAATGCTAATAATAAGACTAACGATTTAATTAGAATTACGATATATTCTAGTTCCAGAAGCAGAATTAAAAGGCCTTGGCTACAGGTTTGAGAATGTGCCTGTAAAATTTGCCAAGACTCCTGTGAATTCCTTCATTAAAACTCCTTTCTATGCTACTTGGTAAATACTAATGTATTTGGCTATGTTGCGTTCGGAAATTTTGTGTTTCTCTCCTACTCGGAACACTTGATCTTGCCACCGAAATATAAACCCGGTGTGGTCTTTCTATCATTTACATGTGATTAGAAACTCGAGCTTGAATTCCTCCATTTCCAGAGTCCTAAACCATTTATCTTTAGTCCTTAGTTATGATGAAAAATTTAGAAGAAATGAAGATTTTGTCGCAACTAGAAAAAAACTGAAGTACATATACTTGCACTGAATTTTCCAAGAAAGTAGTCAGCACTCATTTTCTGCCATGTACTGATAATCACACTTGTAACGCCCCAAAATTTCATATATCTTGAGGTGTTACCAAACATAATTTTCATGTATTTAAATGCGGAACTGTAAAATTCATTTCTTTCTAATAAACCAAACATTCATAATTTTAAATACGAATCATAAAATCGTGTCTTCGAAAAACAACTTAAACATTAATAAATTTGCTAAATAATGTTATTGGACAAATCAAACTAATAATGAACTTTAAAAGGAAAGAAGCAAAACTTAATATTATTCT